AGATGTTATTATAACAAGAATGAGGATTGGACATTCAGCTTTAAATTTCAATTTACACAAAATAGGGAAGCATGAAAATGGAAGATGTGATAAATGTGGGAATCCAGAAACAGTAAAGCACATTCTTCTCGAATGTGATGCGTATGAAAGAGAAAGAAATCAACTTAATCATAAATTAGGTTTGATGGGATATGATAAAGTATCACTCAAGATATTACTAGGGAATAGACAAATGCAATCAAGAATTAAAGAAGAAGTGTTCAATTATCTAAAAAAGACAGAAAATATGGAAAGAATATAAAGTGTAATTGTGGGATTTTTATTTATTTTATAATATCCTTCTCTCTACCAAATCTGTTCACTCCACACTCCAGATCAGTAGGTGGCGGTAATGCACCTTTAAGTTGGTTTGCCAAAACTGCCAATAAACATCAAAAGAAGAAGAAGAAGAAGTGTTTTCCGCAGGAACCTTCTGAATGGATCACGTGACCGGAAGTACCGTTTCTAGTGGGAACCTGGTGGGAACGCGCGAACGTTGCTCGAATTTACATTACAGCGCGGTACACTGAAAACGGGTATGTGAGAAGCAGCACTTTTTAACAATATGTGTTTAATACACACCTGCTTTCGGTCAGACTAGGATGTCGATCTTTGAATACTCTGACAAACGCACGCTTAACTTGATGTAGCATGTCGTATTGAGGATGTTGTGCAACTTAGCTTGTGGCTTGCGGTATTTTTGTAAATTCATCCGGTAATACAAGCGTAAGTTTGCATGTTCACTGGAAAAAATATTGTCTGGGTTTTGCCTTTGTTTTCACATTGACGTGATATCTACATTATATGTACGCTTATTTGCGTTGCTTTGACCGTTCTCTGTAGATCCCACCTTCTCGCACGCCATGATTGGTCGATTATGTCCAATGCCTGCACGCTATTGGTCAAACTACTTTTCAGTCATTACCTTCAACAAGTATGAAAATGATAGGAAAACAAAGCCAAATCCTGGACATTTAGGCAATTTAGAAATCCCAGAAATCAACTAATTTAGGATTCAACAAGGCATTGGTATAACTATAGTTAACCGTTACTATTTACTATTATAACTACTGTTTAAATTGAACTTGTTCAATATCGTCTTGGTAATACATAAGGGTTCTCCTACAGTCATTTTCAATCACCATTAACTCAGATTTGCCTGCTCAGTATTGGTGAGTTGATGTCTTTTCCAGCTCAAGAGGACAAAGCAGAATGTCCCCACCTATGGGAGACAGTCACAAGCGCTTCTTGCAGACCATGATGAGCAATGGCATCATCAGTGCGTCTCGGGCTGCAGCACTACACAAACACTGCTGTGAGACCCATGGAGGTATGAAGAAAACCACTGACTGCAATTTAGCCAAATTCAGTTGGATAATGTGTTTATGTAGTATTTATTTTGCTCTTTAGGCAAAATGTTTAAAAAAACTAAGTTAAAAAGCAAAACTATAATTTGGAAGTTGTATATAGGTGTCCTATTTGAATTAAGCATCTATCTTGCCTTTCTAGCACACTATGTGGCAGACCGATTAGAAGAGTTTATTAATATCATCAACGCGCATCTTCAGTCCTTGTTCATGCACATCAGGAAAGGCATGTCTGAAGACGATGGACTCGAGTATTATGCCTTGGTTAGTTGAAATCTGCATGCACATCTAAGGAGAGATTTTTTTTTTTTTTTACTGATGTCTGTTCAATTTCTGTATTAGATATTATGTAAATTTTTTGTTTTATACATTATTAATTTGGGAAGAATAATATTAGCATTGTATTACATTTATGTGTTTGATGTGATATTTTTTTATAGTCAAAATAGAAATAAAACTTACGTTTGTTATTCAGGTAAACGTGACAGAGACGGACATAACAAGAATGGCGTCTGATTATGCAGATAATGAACTGGAATTATTCAGAAAAACGGTATATGTTGATTCTCACACACACACACACAGACAGTGGCAAGAAAAAGTACGTAAACCCATTGGAATTAGTTGGTTTTCTGTATCAATTATTCATAAAATATTATCAGATCTGCATCAAAGTCACATGTATAGACAAACAATGTGCTTAAACTAACATCTCACAAACAATTATAATCTTTCGTGTCTTTAGTGAACACGTCCCATTAAATATTCTTAGCGGTGTGGAAAAATTAAGTGAACCTTACCTTGTTTTCGTTACCTGGATGAGCCACAAGGTTTTTTTTTTTGGTGATGAGTCTCTTGTTTGTCCTGAGAATATGAGAGTATCAAAGACTATTCTCATTTTGTTCTTAGGAAAGTCATGTTTTGTTTTCATATATCTCTTTGTCTCTGCATTCAGATGGATCTGATTGTAGACTCTGAGAGCGGTTCTGCCTCCTCCACCGATATTTTAAATTGTGCTGACAGCCTCCAGACAAAGAAACTGAAGAAAAAAGAAACTGAGCATGTTTTAAACAAATTTGTCCAGGACAAATGGTTAAATGAGGTATTCATTTTAAAATTGGTCTTTTCCCATATATAAATAACTCCCCAGTCGCTGCCTCCAAAAGTAGTTAAACATTTTTTTTTTTTTTTTGTTCGTTTGTTTCGCTGCTTTAGAAAGACGGTGAATACACTCTAAGTGTGCGCTGCATTGTGGAGATGGAACAGTATATGCGCACAATCTACCAAGACCTCATCAAAGTGTGTCATGTGTGCCACAACATTGCCCTGCAGGTAAAGTCATGAACATGAGTAAAGGTCATGAAGTTTTTTTTATTACGGAAATCCAGGATTTAGATCTCCATCATTTAATTTGAAACGCAAGAAGGAATTTTAAAGGAATAACTCACCAAAAAGTCATAATTTTATCACCCTCATGTTGTTTTCTGTTTAGCTTGTTTAATAGTTGATTAGTTGAATTTTTATCACTTATGTTACATGTATTGACATTTTATTTCTATAGAATTGCCTTGGCTATAGGGGTTACCTGATAGCATTTTCAAACAGAGGAAACTGCAAACAAGAACTTTTCTTTTACATTTAGTGCCAGATGTGTGAAAACCCAATATGTGGAATCAAGGTGCATCTCCCGTGCGTTGCTAGATATTTTAGAGCACGCAGTGACCCTCGTTGCCCGGAATGCAGTGATTTCTGGCCTCACGAGATTCCAGGTGAACTGTTTTTCTTTTTTTTTGTGTGAATATTTTATTTTTGCTTTTGAACTGTAACATAAAAAAATACAAAACACAAATTTTACATAACTTGGTGCACAAGGCAAAAAATACAATAGAATGGGATTATACAGGATATCATAATTACAGTGTAAGACCTCATTTGAAAAGAGAATCCCTCCGGTCTATTGAAGTATCTTCCATGTAACAGAAAAAGGGATGCCAGATTTTATGAAATACTTTACTTTTATTTCTTAACCAGTATGTTAATTTTTCCAAGGGTACACAGTTACTAACCTCAGATAACCACAAACGTACGGGAATAACTATCAGATTTCCACTTTATTGCAATGCACTTCTTAGGAATTATTAGCAACATTTCTGTGAGTTCTTATGGCATAAACTTTCCTAATATTAGCGTAATTACCCAGTAAACATACTTCTGGGTTTGTTGGAAAATTGACTCCATGGATATCAGACTCCAAACTCCAAAGTTACATACTTTTTGCCAAAATTCCTGAACTCAAGGGCAGGTCCATGTGGAATGAAAAAAAGTTCCATTCTCCACACCACATCTAATGCAAAGAGGTGAAATTTTATTAAACTTATGAAGTTTTGATGGTGTGATATACAGTTGGTGAAGGAAGTTAAGTTGAATTATACTATATCTAGAGTTCAAGTATGATGCAGCACCATCCTTACACAGTTCACCCCATTTTTCACCTTCAATGCTAATGTCCAAGTCATGTTCCCATCTCACTTTATATTTGTTTAATTCAGGCACTGGTTGGTTAACTGTTTTTCATTAACTGATAGATTTAATATGAACAATTTGTTAGTTGTTCACTTAAAAAGGTTTTACATTCCAATGTTTTCATGTTTCTTTTTCTAATTTGCAGAAATACCGCATTCCCAGTCACAGAGTTCACAAAGTCTGCCTTCATCATCCAGAGAGAGCACTGCTCCCACACCATCACGCCGGTCAAGAAGGTCGTAATCTGCTTGCTGATTCATCGCTGCAGCTGGCCTTTTGACCATTAATGAGGATTTTTCGTGTCTAAAAGTTTTTTTTACATGCATTTTCTATTTATAAAGAATTGTTATTGGAAAGGGTTCTTTCGCAGTTTGACGTAATTTTTGTTGTAATTCTGATCCAAGATCAAATATATAAATATAAATAAAATCTATTTGCTCTTGTATGGAAACATTTGCTGTCTCTCTTGAATTTTAGCATTTTGTACAGTTGCAAAAATAAAATAAAAATTGAGAAACAAACTTCAAATGTCTCTTTTCAAAAGAAAATCTAAAAAAAAAAAAAAAAGATTAATTCAAGTTATCAGCAAATTTCAAAGTGTTGCAACTAAATGTGGGTAACCATTTAATTTAGTTCCCTACATACTGTTCCTGTAGCTGAACTGGTAGAGAATGAAGCAAACACACCTAAGACCATGAATGCAAATTACATAGAAATACATGCACCGTTAAATATATAGCTTGAATATGATGATCAGCCAATGTGTAATTAATGGAAATAAATAGAAACATTTGCTCTAGTTGATATAACACAAAATGTAAAATTATTCAAAATTATACTGGGGTAAGATGAGCTCCTACCTTGGGCAAGAAACCCTTCTGGCTGAACTTTTACAAAATGAATAAATGACTTTTGATACATCTGAAATGTAAATTTATTCTATGACTTAAGAGTTATATGAATATGTAAATATTTAATGAAAAGCAAAGATGGAAATATTGAAGAATAACCCCATCAATTACACTAAATAATACATTTATATGTATATAACATTCAGCCTAAAACCGGTAACACATTTGGCGTTTGTACAAATAAAGACTGTTATAAGACTTGACAGCACACACTGGGCACGTTGTTTTATTCTCTACAAATTAGGACCACCAAAAACTGACAGAAAAGCTGAGCTCTAGAGAGCGCACATAATGCCAGTGCTGTTGAGGGATGAAGAGGACATCTCTGGGCTGGAGAACACACTCCTGATAAGAGGCTTTAGAGAAGTCTGGGAACTTCACCAGGTCTGCATTCTCCACTTCCACCTGGTGGTGGTAAAACAAACTTGTTTTTTTTTCTTAAGATATAAAACAACTTTTATGTGATTATCTCAAAACACTTTAAGAACAAGAAACCTGCTGTCATAAATTAGGTCTTCTACCTGACTGGTGTTGTGTAGTAGCTGCGACTGATGTGGATAGAGATTTTTTGTTTCATCTGGGCTGTAGAGCCGGATGTATTTCCTTCCAACCACCTGACATCCAAAAACACAACCAGAATGCAATGAAACGGGGGGAACAAAAACCTTGCCTTTCAAATGCACCATTTGTCTCTTGTTTACCTGTGCCAAACAATTCTGTTGAAGATCCTGATGGAGAGGAGACACAGTCCCTCCAGGCCCAAACCAGGCATTAATTGTAATGTCATCCTCATCTCCCTCTCCAAGACAACAATAGTCTGGGATGCGAATATCTTCTTTCAGTTCTGGAACCTATCAGGATGAATAACAGCCAAAGTTACTGTTATTGGTTTTGAATGATGCTACATCCGTTAGTATAATTTCCAAGTCTAAGAAAACTGCCATAGCGCAAACTAAATTTACAAAAACTTTGCACTTTTAACAGTATTAAGAGAAAATTAAAGAAATATTGCACCCAACAAAGAAAACTTGCTGAAGAATGACTCGCCCTCAGGCCGTCCAAGATGTAGATGAGTTTGTTTCTTAATCGGAACAGATTTGTCGAAATTTAAAAATGCATGACTTGCTCACAAATGGATCATCAGCAGTGAATGGGTGCCGTCAGAATGAGAGTCCAAACAGCTGCTAAAAATATCACAATAATCCACAAGTAATGTAAATAATCCAAAGGTTTGTGTTTGTAATAAATTCATCAATAAGATGTTTTTAACTACAAACTGATACTTCTGGCTAAAATCAATCAATCCATAATATTGATGAATTAATCATATTGATTTCTTCAGTGAAAAAGTCATCTTGTCTGAATCAGGTGAGGAATCTGCATAGATCGAGCACCGTTTATAAGTGAAAAACAGTCCAAAACAAATAAGTCAATGGATTTTGATGTGAGAGGACAACAGGGGATGGACTTTTTCACTGGAGGAAGTGTTATTATGGATTAGCATTATTATTATTATTATTATTAAACCATAACCATGGTTATTTTTATAGAGTCTTAATTATGGATTTGTTTATTACAAACACATAGCTTTTGACTTCCCAAGACGTTAATTGATAGACTGGAGTTGCGTATTATTTTATATTATATACTTGTGGATTATTGTGATGTTTTTATAAGCTGTTTGGACTCTCGTTCTGACGGCACCCATTCACTGCAGAGCATCCACTGATCAGACAGTGATGAAATGCTAAATTTCTCTACATCTTCGATGGCCTGAAGGTGAGCAAATTTTCATTTTTGGGTGAACTATTCCTTTAAAGGTAAAGTATGTAGATTCTGGTCCTCTAGTAGCACCATAAAGAAATGCAACTGACCTGATCAAACAACTGATGCTGAGCTAGATATCCCACTCCATCCTCCGCCTATAAGAAAATCACCAAAAAAAAATTATAGACAGTTTACAGCTTCTTTAGGCAAAAAACCCCCAAAAACACTGTATCTTACAATGAAATGAAACTGAAATGATTCTTACTGTTCCTATAATGTAGCGGTCTATGAAGTCATTCATTGTAATGAGCTTTTGTGACCACTCTTCATCAGTGTACTTGGATCCCACTTCAATAGGTACCGTCCGGCAGCCAGCGATAGTTCGTAAGTAGTCTATGCTTAGAAAGAGGGTACAGTAGGATTGTTTACAGATGTTTCAGAAGATAAAATCTAATAATACATTTTATCAGTACCTCCATGAATGCTCTGTTAAGGCTGGCCAGTGGTCAGTTATTCCCTCTATAATCACAGGCTTCTGAGGATCCAGGAAATCTGATCTGAAGCGCTCCAGGGATGGACAATGAATCCTAGGCACTGCTTGTGCAGGGTTTATTACAGGCTCGGAGACACAGTCCAGTTTCATTTTCTGTTTTAGAAAAGCTTTATAAGTAAATAATGTACAGCTGAATAAGCTATTAGAACAAGGTTTTAAAGAGCATGACATGATTTAGTAAATTAGGACATGTTCCTGAATCAACAATTGATATTAAATAATCACAGGCCAAACCTAATCAATCAATCAATCAATCTCACTGATCCCAACAAACACAAAAATTAAGTTTTATAATTTTAAATAATATTGTTTAAATCATATATTTGTAAATGTATAATTTTACATTTATTTTTTAATTAAAATGGATTATTAATCGTTTTAATAAAAAAAAAAATCACATAATTTTATCAAATGTTAGGTTTTCGTTACAAATAAAATTCGCAATAATAGCTGAAAATTATGTAATTATTATAATTATACACCACTGATTATAATAATTCCAAGACAACAATTTCATAAATGCTTGTTTTTGAAATAACATAAAATGCTAAAAATAAAATAAAAATATGTTGAAGTATTAAAATTACTACAACAACAAATTCAAAGCTAAATAGAAATATAAAAACATCTATATATACACAATACAATTTACAAAAACATACATTTGCTTAATTAAAACTTGAACTAAAATTTAACTGAAAGTATAAAAATAAAAGCTACTTCAAAATATTTATAAATACTATAATAGCATCTAAATAATTCTAAAATAACACATTTTAATTAACTTCACAGCAGGGAAAGCTAATTTTAAAAACCATGATATATCTGTACACAAGCTGTCACAAATCCTTCATGCTCTTGTCTTTAGGAGGGATGACTTCACCTTTGAACAGGGTTCTTCACTCCTCTGCGCTTTGTTTGGACTCTTGCTTTTCATTTTATTTCTTAAGACACCAACAATCCTTTGCAGAATGTTGTCCATGATGGCTGCTCCCATTAACAGACCCATGTCACATGTTTTAATGGCCTCTTGGATATTATATTGAGATGGATTTCCATGACATAAACTTAAGACTTTGAATAAGCAGCCATAGGAGTAAACTCTCCTCCACTCCTTGTCCACATCTCTCCATGTCCCAGTGTTGAGCTTCTCCCAGGAGTAATCGATAATGACCTGAGCTCTTTCAGCAGAGGCTGGGCAATCTGCTTCACTGTACAGCTGATCTCTAGCCAGCTCGAGAACCTTCAACACACTGAATTCAGTCTCTTCGCTGAAGTGAAGTGGGAATTCAGACACTGTCGAGGGCAAAACAGCTCGAACATCGGTCCAGATTGGAGCCATGAGCAGAACAGACTTTTACAGATCACTTGTGATTGATGATCCGGTGAAAAGCGACCACAGGAATGGTTTACTACTTGCTTGGGAGAAACACAACTATATATTACACGTCATATTTGTTATAATAAATAACAAACACCGTTTACAAAGGCAAACAGCTAGCGTCAATTACGTAAGAAATGTGTAACTAAAAAGAAAAGTATTAAAGCGAAAGGCAGTAGTGCCAGTTTTAATGTCCGGCTAGAAACACAGAAGATAAATAACGTTCCGCTCCGGAACACATTCCCTTGTTATCAGTGTCGTTTCATTGTGGTAACTGGTGTACACAGTACACACAATATGAATGTATATGTATTATATATATATATATATATATATATATAAAAATACACACACATACAGTATATATTTTGAAAATATTTACATGTATATA